TAAGTAGTACACCTTGTTTTCCACTAATAATTCCCAATTTTAGAGAATTTGCCGCATAATACTAAAACAAAGAAGATTTTTTATACTCCATAGATTTTCAATTACGATAAAAAAATTAATGACAAATTCAGGTAAGATTTTTTATAATAAATGTGTAAAATATATTTTTTGGTGTGGTTCTTCACTTTTGAGAATTGCATAAAATATCGATAAATTTACGGGCATAGTGCATGTGCACCAAGGAAATTCAGCCAATGAATGTATGTGTCTCGACTATTTATCAACTGAAAATGTACTTACAGTAGGTACGCTGAGGTTACGATATGCGATCCTCTCAACACAGTTTTTTATGGTAACATTTAACTCTTAATGGACTAATCAGATCTAATATTATGAGATCGTATTAACATCAATTTAAATTTTTTTCTCAGCTTGAGCAATTAGCTGAGAAAAAAATATGAATATGAATGAATGAATCAAAAACAAAATTATTAATTCATTTAATATAACAAAACCACAAGAAACTAGATGAAATTTTTTTTTCTCAGCTTTAGTCAGCTAATTGCTCAAAGGACTTTCTTTAACTTTTGAAGTAGGTTTTACTTGATTGACTCTCTATGCTGTAACAGCGCTGTGCTTTATGTCGCGTCCTAGGTAGTTTCTATAAACAGAATAGCATTGCTGTGCTTTGTAGCATTTCATCACATCTGTCTACCCCACAAGCAAGCCGGTGGGAAGGATAAATCTGCAGAGCGACCACCTAATTCATCTAGTTATAAATCTAGCCATAGGATACATCTTATCGATATTCAAGCGCTAATTCAATGCACTCTAATAACGACAAATCTTATATATATAAAAGAAAGTCGGGTTTGTTACAACACTTATAACTCGAGATCTGCTGGACCAATTTTCATGGTTTTTGATTTGTTGGATTTGTCTCTGCCCCGAATACATCTTAAAAATAATGAAAAATTGACGAAAACTTGAAAAATGCGTTATTTTCCCTAAAAGTTGTTTAGTTTCGGAGTTGTCAAATTTTTTTGTCAAGATCTGTAAGTAATCATTGACATTTATGCATGCGTTCATAAACTATTTAAAATGGATGAATAAACCATTATGTGTATTTTTTTTTTTAAAGATTGAAAAATATTACGCGTGCGTTCAGAAATGTGTAATGAATACTCAATCATTTCAATAAATTTTTGAACTCCTTGGATGTGCCTGGTTTACCACCGCACAATTTACAACTGAAGGTTGGCACGGTAGTCATCATGCTTAGAAATTTAAACCAACCAAAACTGTGCAATGGAACGCGTTTGGTGATAAGAAAACTGATGAGCAATGTGATTCACGCGTCGATACTTAAAGGAAAATTTAAAGATGAGGAAGTTCTTATTCCAAGGATTCCGATGATCCAAACAGATATGCCCTTTGAGTTTAAACGAATTCAATTACCGATTCGTCTTGCTTTCGCCATGACGATCAACAAATCACAGGCCCAATCCTTGACTATTTATGGCCTCAATCTAGAACATGCGTGTTGCTCTCATGGTCAATTGTAGTCTGTCTATAAAGTCATGAAAAGAATGTTTGAGGAACTAACATTAGACACAAGTATGACAACACTGAATCAAAGTACACCGACTGTCTACAACTTGATTTTTTAGCTCGATTTTGTGCATTTTTGATTTGTTTTGATTAAACTGAAGCTACTTCTTCTAAACTCCGTAGAAAAGTGTTAAAAATGAAGAGAATTAATCGGAGTGAAGCTCAGGATATTATTTATAAAGTTTTCCGTGATGTTTATTGGAACAAGAAGCTGGACACATTTTATCATATTTGTAGGATGTTAAAGCTCGAACGGCAGTTATGACTGGTATGTAATCGTGTTACTGATTGAGTTTTGGTTACCAGAAGTTTCAAATTTACTAAATATATGAATTTAAGTCTAAAATAAGTATTGTTTACATTATGCATTTATAGGTTACATTGAAAATGTTAGAAGGCTATATTGTAGTGCGGCCCGAACTTTTAATACTTTTAGATAATCAAATTTATCATTGATTTTAATCTGAATAAAAAATATATCTGTTAGGAATGTACGATTTTTACCTACGTACGTCAATAAAAAGTTTGTGCTTTATATTACTAAAATTATAGCATTAATTTGATCATTGTGGCGATTCCATTCTTTTTGCCAAATACCTATAGGTATTACATTTTTAAAACTTACTTTCAGGAAAATCAGAGAATATAGTGATACGTATTGTAGATGAAGGCTATAAAAATGGTGGCATATTTGAAACCCCTGGGAAACATAGATAGTCGTCCTAAGAAATAAATGGTTAACTGCAACATTTGTGCACTTCGACAAAAGATTCAGTTCTTTTACTCTATGAAAAAAAGAGGTACCTACATGAAGAAAACATCAGTGGATTGCCAAAACCGATCTGGATTTTAATTGTAGCCTAGAAGTCCTGCGTTAAATTCTGAAATAGATTGGGTTTTCTTACAAGGAGTGTCAAAGTAACAGGCTTTAATCGAACACAAGCACACATTGCAGTAAAACGTGAAAACAACTTGGCAATTATATAAAAAAAAGATTTATCAAAAATTACGATTACTATATTCTAATCTTCAATGTAGAATAAACTCATTGTCTACGAATTATACGCCTTTACCTTTTCTGGGGTAATAAAAGTAAAAAAAATATCCAGTTTATTTTACTATAAATAAAGAAAATCCTACTATCAAAATCATTTGTCTCACTACACAGGGTTGCTACGTGCACGATCGCAGCGCCCTCAATTTTTTTCATGACTTTATAGACAGACTGTACGTGGCATGCTCACGTGTCGGCAAACCATCCGCATTATTAGTTCTTGCGCCTGACCAAAAAACAAAGAATGTCGTTTACCACAAGGTGCTTGAATGAAAATCCGATTAATGAATAAATCAGAGTGTATTCTAACCTGCACACCATAGTTTCCATTAATTTTTTTCTGACATGTGTTTGAAATACTTAATATTTTGTATCATTGTATTACGTTCATCTAGGCCTAAATTAGTTCAGCTAAAAGGTAACACGACATTCATTGACTGTTAGGCGGTACGAAGTTCGCCGGGTCAGCTAGTGAATGATAAAGAATGATGAATATGGATTTGATACCTACCAGTGCATGTTAGTCATTTAGCCCAGATGTATCCTCAAAAGACATATCAAAGTAATAAAATAAAACGAACTATCATTATAATACTCACTATGATGTCGTTAGTTAGGTGGTCACACTCCAGGCATTCCATCCACACCCTTATAGAACCATTTCTCTGGATTTCGACTTCCAAAATCAGTTTTCGATATATGTCGATCCCTAGAGAACCGACGTTGAAATCTCTGGGAATTCCTGATATAGATATATATTTATTTTTATATATTATTCTTATTAAATTGTGAATTTGTTTTACTTTACAGGTGTAAAATATGCTGGCTGTGCTTTGTTGATAAAATATTAGAATTTATTTCCATTTTTCTATATTCTTTCGTTTGTAAATATCTTACTAATATATTATAAGTAGTTCCTATTGTAAATAAAACGTCACATTTCAATCAATGCAAAGGTTTTATTTGACTTCATTATAAACAGTCCTTACTATCTAATAGTTTAGTAACAATGCGTGAATGCAATTCGAAAGCCGTCACTTCGTGCGGCGCATTTTAAATACTTTTTTTTTAATATAATATATAAATTAAATTAATATTCTTTGATAAATATATCGTGTAGCTTCGGCGCAAAATTAGACGTCTCGGCCGCCGTTCTGGAATTTTTTTTTTGTTTTAAATAGTAACAAATATACAAAAAGTCGAGATTAACGCAGACCGGACGCGGCGGTCGACATGCTCCTAGCACCTGGAATGTTCCCGCCGCTCGGTTCCCGCGTTTACGCGAAAGGCAGGGGCGAGCGGCCCCTATGTATTTTTTTTTAATTTTCGTCGGGCACCGACCGGACCGGACGGACGGTGCCCAGGCGGCCTAGACGGGCCGTTTTACCAAATTCAATTTCGAAACTGGACGATTCACGGGCGGGCAATCGCGTGAATCCAAAATAAAGTCGGACATATCGGGGGAATCCACGACGGTCGTCACCTAGAGGGAAAGCCGGCGACCGTCCTAGACCCTGCAACTACAAAACATATTGTCGCTAACAATCGAACAGCGATATCAGGCTAACATAATCAGCAAAAGAAATAATTCGTAAAAATTTAGCCGCGTTCACATAAAATATGTACGGAACAGTTCCTTGTACTAAAATTGGTATTAGGTAAATAAAAGTCAGTCAGATAGAGAAAAATATTTGATATGTATTTTTTCCTTAAATTTATTTAAGTACCAAGGTATTTCAACTGAATGTATCACCGTAATTTTTGATCACGCATAATAATTATTGTTGTACTTATAATAAATGGTAAAAAAATATTAAATAAAATTTTCTAGTAGTACCTATTTTTTACCAATATATTTCTCAACTCGCACGTGGTCTCTGAGTAAATCTACTAAATCGAGCTACTAACTAAATAATGCTCGTAAGGATATTAATCATTCTCGAACCTCTAGCTAGAAGAAGACGAAGCAACGAATGAACTTTGGGTTCATACTTCATATCTAAATAGATCTCACCTTGGTCAGTTTTATTGTCCATATTTGGAATAAATATGTTATACTGGTTTTAAGAAATTTTTTCGCATTTCAGTAAAAACTTTGTAGATTTGTCATTGATATATCAAAATAATTGGAACTGATACAAATTCAAACGTGCCGTTGCAAAAGCAAGTTCAATGATTAGTTTATGGTACAATAAGTAAACTTAAATATTGAAATTATAATCTCCATTTATTAACCATTATTTTTCATAAGTATAATAGGAACTAACGTAAGCTTAAAAACTAACTTGCACAATATACTCGACATATTCCATAGAATTCCAAAACAATTAGGATTCTATTGTGGTTCTTTCTTCGGAATGACTATGGATGCTTCCAAGGGATCATTGGTGCCCTGGCATGTGCTAGTTGAAGGTTCGAAGCCAGAAGTTATGTGGTTACTGTATTTAATTTCTTGTAGAACCTTCATTATTTCAAATTTAAATTCGAATATTTGTCTTTCAGACATCGTTTCCATGTCTGGTAACAAGGATAAAAGAAAATTAAGGTGGGGGTTCATGTTGTTTTCCTCGATATTTTTCATAGAATTTAAAAAATGGTTATGATACAACGATAATCCCTTTCTCTTTTTGATTTTTTTGGTTTGAATCGGTTTTGAAACAGATGACTGCTCCGATGAGCTATCCAAGTTGAAACTGTCGATAATATTCTCGTTCTTCACTTCCTCATTAAAAGAGCTGTTACTGTCCGACGAGTGTGATGACGGCGATTGTACATTTGTGGTTGAGGTATTAGTAGACCGTAATAACGTGAGAAACTGTAACATTTCTAAGGATAGTGTCCGACGCTTCTTTATACCTTTACCGTTTATCTTTTCTTCATTACTTTCCCGAACAAAATAATCTCTGAGATTCTTCCATTTTTTTTGAAGTTGTTGGACTGAAAAGAATAGTAGTACATAATAATAACATTAATGAATATACGAGATGATTTCTAACGACTGTATTTTTTGTGTGTTTGTTACGCGATTTTTATTAAACAGCACAATGGACGGACTGAGAATTTATCGATCGAGTCCCATTTTATCCAAATCGAATCAGTACAGTAGTTTTCCTTTTATAACAAAACAAAATAAACTTTTTACCAGATACCACCTGAATATTTACATGATATGTTTAACTCAACTAAAAAAAAAAAAAAATTTGCGCTTGAATTCATTCATTCAAAATCCGAAAGGAGGATTTTCTACGTTCAACATATGTATGTATATTCTTTACGAAAGTATACCTACTTTCGTAATGAATATACATCAGTCATCGATTTCTTCTTGAATTGTGTACCAATTTCTATCACGCTGTTTACCCGCGATTTCGCCTGCGTAAATTATAGCCTGTTATGTAGCTTCCCGCTAAGATATTTTTAAAAATCACTCTAATGGTTTCGGAACTTATCCAATGCAAACAAACAAGAAATCAAATCTTTCCTCTTTATAAGTAGGTAAGTATTGATCATTGTAAAAAAATATGTAAATCAAATAAACAAAATCTTCTTTTCTAAGACTTTCACTAATTTTAATTATTGTGTTAACTAATATTTATCTTATTAGTTGACACTAATAGATTAAATATAAATATCAGTAAAAAGCATGAAATAAAAACTTTAAAAATAATAGAACCTACTTTAAAACTGAAAATAGCTATCGAAGTCCAGCGCCTATCATTTAATTAACAATGCCTCTGCCCGATTGCAATGACATTTCCTTGAATAATTCGTTTTTGAGATAAGAATAAATTATCACCTTCTTAAAGTTTGAAGTTGGTTCTTTTTTTTTTAAAAAAAAGTTTTTATGTTACAATAGGTATCCATTTTTACTCCTGAGGTATTCCATAACCCTAAAATTACCTAATAACCCAATCAAGAGAATGCATTTCTTAGAGGTCGTATTTAGATTTTGAAATAGTAACAAAACAAATAAGTATCGGTTTCGGTGCTTTATGAAACAGATACATGATGTATCGGGTCGTTTTAAAAAATATCAACGTTATATTTTTCTCATCACTAGTTAAGAGTACCTACATAATTGACTTAACAGATGCCAAGTGCCAAGATCGCATTTTCTCGTCGGCACCGCCGCAACAATTTAAGATTAGATATTATTTAGTCACATTGGTTCGAATATTTAAACTAATAATATTACACTCACCAGTCTTATTTTTCTTTGTCTGACTATACGTTTCCCAATCATCGTACATAGTGGACGCTACGTCTTCCCAAGCCAGTCGACGTAAACTTCTGTCACCGTATTCTTTTATACTCGAATTCCAAATACATTCTCTCGCATGTATTTCTGCAATGAATCTTTCTGTATTGAACATAATGGAATTCTCGAACCGATAAGCAGGGCGTTGCTATTCAATACGCTATTACGTTCACTTACGCAGTCGACCGGCATCCACGGCGCGTACTGGCGCAGTACTGAAATCGGCCGCCGAGTGTCGGCGTCCGGTACCGACGCATAGCGACAATGACGCATTGTCGGTTGTCGGTTTCCGATGTGAACGAAAAAGTTATATTATCTGTCATGTTTGTACATTATTTGTGGAAATACAATAAACTAACGTATCGCTCACAGTAGGCGGTTAACTAGACTAAACTAAAATGCGTTTGGCTTGTACACAGCCTAATTCATTTCATTTTTTCATATCCTTAATTTTTTTTTGTTGTTTGATTATACAGATTTGGGTTTTCTTGTTCTGTCAGATAAAATAATTAAAGTGCTTTTGTAATTTATTCATTCACAAGTGATTGTAACAGCGTAAATTAATAAATTATTTTGAATTTGAATTAAAAGAATAATACTGACGAACATTCTATTTTCGATGAACAAAAAAAATAACATATGGCACCATCAGTATTAATTACAGGCAACAAATTCTTTACCAGGAAATATACCTACGTATACTTTAAGTAAAAAAGCTTAATTTTAATAAATTAACATATTTTTATGAACTGAAAATAAATGAATTTAGAAAAGCTATTGTAAATAACACAGTAAATAGCAAAGCAACTTGAGCTGACTCTTCATCAGTCTTTAAAATTTAGCTTCATTTAGTGACACTAGATGGCACAAATGAAAAAAATATATAATAGCTCTTTGTGCTAGGTTACTGATGACTAATTTTGAATTGTGATTTTTATTCTCAAAAGTACAAGTCCAGAATAATCTACACGAACCTCAATGTACTAAGTTTTTGGCCACATTAACCTGAGGAGCTCGATGGCGCTATGGTTAGTCCATTTGGTCTCTACTACGGTCGTTGAGCAAATTTCGCAATGGCCAGCCATAAGATGGGTGGCCAATAAGTTATTATCTCAAGTTCCTGTTTCGGAAGTCACATTAAGCCGTTGATCTTCGGATGCATCTGCAGTCGTTACTAACAAATCCACACTGAGCCCGCGTGGTGGGCCGTGCATGGCCTATTCGCGATTTCAAGGAAGGCCTGACCCCCTTGAACAGGCAATATTTACATAGGCTGGTGATGTGATCTTGTATGACCGGCCCATGCATGTGACATTATGTCTCCTCGTTTTCCAAAACACAGGGTGGGGTTCGATCGCGTAACTTTGCATGGCACTATCACAGAACAATAATACTCTACGAGAAGATCAACTTCATAGAAAAATATTATCCATAGAAACTAGTTCCACCTATAGTTAGCCCTCCAAAACAAGTAGTATGATGGGAAGTTTAAATACTTACTTTTATACTTGGCTTTCATATTAACCACCAAATTACTAAAACCAGTGTTTCCTGTGAATATTTTTCGTATACAAAATACATAACATAAACAAATTCCGCAAACCAAAAACATCCGCAGGGAACATAGGTTTTAGTAATTTGGTAGTTAATCTAGGTGAAACAAAGGGACTACTTCAAAAAGGGAAAAACAAGCAGATTATAATAACACACTTTATTTTATTATTATTTTAACATACTGTTTTATTACACAAATTAAGTTTTTAACTTTAATTCAACATTTATTTACAAGCCTTCAGAATCATTTTAATGTGTGCACCAAATTATCAAGAAAATGATTTTGACACAGCATTTTATGTTCAGTGTACAATTTCATTTAGAATTCTGTTGATGAATTCCATCCTTTGGGGAAAATATATTTAGCCCACAATTTACATCTGAAAACAAATACAACAAAATTAAGAATGTTAGACCCTTATAGTACAAGAGACTACATTTTTCCTAACAATTTTATAACAAATTAATTAAATTTATAGTACGTAATTAATAAACATCCTTAATCTACTTCCCCTACATCATCTCTTTTATCAGAAATAACATAAAATTCTTTCATACAGATTCGCATAACATACCTAATACTGAAGATCTTTGACTCGAGGCATTTTTTTTACAACTTAATACAAGTATTTATGTCAATTGTAACTCTACTGCTATAAAAAATAACTAACACTAGCATTACATAATGGGAATATTCTCTTGTTAAAATGTAGCGTAACTTCTTCACGTACTATTTATTAGTTTGGAAATCTTTAGATAGAAGATTAAAGCAAGTACCGTATAAGATTCCTTTTAGCCGGCTTCGGAAAACGAAAGAGCTTTACATTATGCTGGATTGGCGAACGTTCACACTTAAAACATTATCTTCTGTTTTCTTTATCAGACAAAAATTTCAACAAACACAACAACAGGAAAGAGTCACTATCTCAAATTTCACAAATAACTATAAATCCACTTTCTAAGCACATTAAAAGGAGGAACAAAAGCACGGCCCGTCAACTCCGTACAATAAACCAATCGCGTAGGGGTCAGTTTTTTTTTTCTTTTTTTTTTTTTTTTTTTTTTCAATTATTCGTTCCTTCCGGAACAGGCTAAGATCATAGACCATACTGCCTCGTCATTGGTTGAATTGTATTTCTTAGTATTGAAAAATGACGTTAAGTCTTCAGTTTATAAAAATGATATTAAACTTCTTCAGTATAAAAACAAAATTACAATAAAAATACGTTTCAAAAAATTTCAAAGACCCATTGAATTATTCTTTGACTTAGAACATCAACAAACAAAAGTTACTTCCCGTTTCATATTGACATCAACCAAATAATACCTATGCATTCGAGACTTCATTCTCAAAAAAATCGAAATAGGATAAAAAAGAAGAAAAAAGTGACTAAATACAACAAAGACACGTAAAAATTATCCTAAGCTATGTACACCTATATTTGCCCAATTGTGCTATCTACAAATTTAAACAAAGGTAGAAATGTGGAGGTATTTACGAGCAGATTTGAAGTAGAGCGCGGTACCCGTTCCGGACTTTTATAAATCTCAATCAGCTCATCCATTAGCACAAGGCGCTGAATGCCAAAGGATGGGCATTCAAAGAATATGTGGTCCAAAGACTGCTCTGTTTGAGTGTCACAACGATCGCAAAAGGGACTTTGTACTATATTTAGACGATAAAGATGGTATTTTAGACTACAGTGACCGAAACGAAGCCTCAGGATAGTTGTATAAAATTTCCTGTTAAAGTAAGTGTTACTTTTGCAGAACCAAGGTGTAGAATTTACAGGAACGTTAAAAGAAGCATACCATAAACCTTTGTTTTCTATTTGGACTTTAAAATTCCAATGTTTTTTCCACGAATTAGTGGATCTATTTTTTAAAAGAAAAATTATGTCATTATTTGGAACAGTTATATTAAGGCTATTGCTGGAATCAGGGATTATTGAAGAATTGGTTATAAACCTTGCCAAAAAGTCAACTTTTTCATTTCCTACCACACCAATGTGTGAAGGAACCCAAACAAATGATACTTGAATATTATCCATAATGTTCAAGTCTAACCAAAGTTGTTTAATCGAAAATATAAGATAGTTTGTGTTAGCATTGAACTTATTGTTTTTAAGATTTTCTAAAACACTCATGCTGTCACTAACTATTACCCACTTATGACATCCATTATTTTTATATTTAATATGTTTTAGACCTGCAAGAATAGCCAGAGCCTCGGCTGTAAATATGCTTGTGTTGGAATTAATTTTGTAACCTGTACCTAACTTCAATTGCTCATCAAAAATTGCAAAAGAGACTGCTGATTCTGTTTTTGAACCATCTGTATATAAGAACCGATGACCAGAAAACTCAGAAAATTTATTATAAACATCTTGCTTACAAGATAATTTATGATCAATGAAAATATTTATTGCTGGGAATTTACTCTCAAATTGTCCCTGATAACAAGGTAGCAATTCTGACTGGTGTATTTGCAAGCCATTAATATAATTTAAAAATTGGGAAAAATTCTGAAGAATGTAAAGATTCTCTGTTGAAATATGTGAATTGACCAAGTTTAAAAAAAGGTGATTATTTTTTTTTGTGTAAAGTTTTAAAATAAACTTTTCTTTCAAGTAGGAAAATCTTATATTTAATGGAGGTAATCCACATTCAACCTGTAATGAATTTATAGGTGTGCTTTTAAATGCTCCTGTTATAATTCTCATACTTTTATTTTGGATTTTTTCTAGTTTATCCACCAGTCTATTATCACCAGAAAAACAGAGAAACCCATATTCAAAATGACTGCGAATGAGAGACTTATAAAGTATTAATAATATTTTGGGATCAGCTCCCCAGGATGATCTGCATAATGATTTTAAAACATTAAATGCTTTGTTAGCCTTTGAACTTATAATTTCAACATATTTGTTCCATGACACATTGTAAGTAAATGATATTCCTAAAAACTTTGCTTCACAAGAAATGGGGATAGGGATTTTGTTATAATATACAATGGAGGCTGAGCTATGAATTTTTCCAAATATAACTAAGTTTGATTTGTGGGCATTGATATCAAGATTTAAATAAGAAAAATAATTATAAAGACCTTCTAAAGATTTATTTACAATGTTGGTAATTTCTGTTAATTTTTTTCCAGATGCATAAACTACAAGATCATCAGCAAACTGTAAATTTTTAACATGAGAACCTAGTACTAAATTAAGACGTCTTATATACAGAATAAACAATAAGGGAGACAGAATTCCTCCTTGACAAACTCCAATGGATGCACGTCTAGGACCATATAAATTATTATTATATTTGACATACACTTCCCTTTCTGTCAAAAATTTATAAATCCATTGAATTATTTTACTTGGAATTCCTAAACAAGCCAATTCAGAACAAAGCACATGAATATTTATATTATTAAAGGCACCAGAAACATCGAAAAATACAGATACCAAGAAATTCTTATTAACTAAACTATTCTGAATATCAAGATGAAGTTGGCAAATACTTTCACGAGCAGACATTCCTCTTCTAAATCCAAATTGATTTGCAGGTAGAATGTGATTTTGTTCCACAAAAAACTCAAGTCGTTGTTTTAACAACTGTTCAAAGATTTTTCCAACACAAGATGTAAGAGTGATTGGACGATATGAGTTTGGATTCAATTTGGGCTTATCTGGTTTCAAAATGGGTACTATACAATCAGACTTCCATGGATCGGGTATATCATTATTTCTCCACAAACTATTTAAAATGGATAAGAAGATTTGGAGGCTATTATCACTGAGCTTTTTGAGCATGGAATAAGGAATGCCATCCAGACCAGTTGCTGTATTCCTTCTAGAATGAATTGCAGACAACAACTCTTGAAAAGAAAAGGGTTTAATTAAATAGTTATATGAAGTATTTGAATGATCAACTATGGGAAAACTAGGTGAATTATGTACATAATCTGGGGTATATTTCTGTAAAAATTCTGGAATCCAATCATCATTATTATTATTACTGAAAGAATATGTTTTGTTAAATTTACGCATTAATTTCCAAATTCGAGACAAGGGGGTACAACGATTAAAAGAATTACACAAATCAATCCAACTATTGTTTCTCTCAGTTTTCAAGGTAAGTTTTTTTAAAGCTTGTAATCTTTTGAACTCTATATATGTTTCAGCAGAAGGATTATTTTTAAAATTAACATACGACAATTTGGATTTCTGAACTGCTTCTAAACATTTTTTGTTCCACCAGGGCAAAGCTCGTGATTTCCTAGTATTGTTACTATTTTTGATAGATGCAGAATTGCTAAGTGGAAGCGACCTTACTATAGCTAAATTAATTATTTTACAAAATGCAGAGTAAGCTTCAATTGGTGTATAATTCTCTAATTTGCAGTCTGTTAAAAGGGACTCTACATTTTGGGTATACATTTTCCAATCAACCATCTTAAAATTAGGGTGGATGGGCAAATGTATACTATTATTATGTGAATCAGAACTTTTGTTGCCTTTTTTTCTAACAAGAACTTTGATAATTACAGGGAGATGATAACTGCCAAGAGGATCATCGTGTACAGACCAATCACATGAAAGAGCTAACGACGGAGAAACTATAGATAGATCCAGAGCATTCGGACGCCAAGACATAGAACCAACTGTTGTAACCTGACCATCATTCAACAAAACAAGATTGTTATTGTCAATCACTTCTAAGACCTCTCTGCCACGAATCGAGTCCGAACCACATCCCCATGAAGTATGGTGAGCGTTAAAATCGCCACCAAAAATCATAGGCTGTGGATTAGATTTAATTAAAGTTTCAAACTTATTTTTATCGAACCTAGGAGTACATTGGAGTGGAGAATAAAAGCTTACTAAACTAAGTTCTCTATTATTTACAGTTAAACGTATGCATATATTTTGTAAAGAATTGTCATAATATGTAGTTATTTTGTTATATGTTAAGCTTTTATGGATAAGAATAGCAACACCATTATGTTTGTTACCAGAATCATTACGTTCAATGTTGTAGTATTTCATATTAAATGATTGTTCTGGCCTTAGCCATGTTTCTGATATTAAAGCTACATGAATATTTTGTTCAAATAAAAATTGTGATAGGGCAAGCCTATTGCAACCTAGGCTCTGGGCATTCCAATGAACTATATTTAAGGTATTAACCATTATTGAGTTAAGGTAGCTTTTTTGCTTAAAGTTTTATTAAATACATCTCGAATAAAACTGGAGTTAATAGGCACATTTTGGTCCTTATTAGTAATAATAATATTTGTGACAATTTCAGTTATCATATTCATAAATTTGTCTGATTTCACTAAGTTTTGAAGTTGGGTATCTATGTTTTTTGCGTGTAATTGTGGAAATGCTTGCTCCCTTAAAACATCTGAATATTTTACAGAGTGAGCCTTGATTTTATTTTCTTCGATTTTTTGTTTTTTAATGGGGCAATTATTTGAAATGGCGATATGATTCCCACTACAATTGACACACTTAGCGTTATCAGATTTAACGTTGCAAGCTTTGTAGTTGTGGTTACCAGTGCATATAGAACAGATTTCGGCATTCTTACAAAATTTGGCTATATGTCCATATTTCAAGCAGCGTAGACACTGCTTAACAGGAGGAATGAACTGACTGACCTCGTGACGCCAAGAATCTAAGTATACAAATTCTGGAAGTTGAGTGGAGGCAAATGTAACAGCTACGGTCTGCGTAGGAAGAAACCGCACCGAGCCATCATCACCTCGTACACGTCGCATAAATCGCCTCACTTGAATGACATTTCGGGAGCTGCCTATTAACGAAAAAATTTTTTTATTAGATAAGTCAGTAGGAACAGATCTTAACACCCCTGTAACTTCTGTATCGGCTGCTGGAATTGCAGCGTTAAAGTTTAGTTCGTCTAGTAATTTTTTATTTTGTAAAAAAACATTTGCGTTGTTGGATACATCAAATGTGATACCAATTTTGAATTTATTTATTGCTTTTAGGTGTAGGACACCCGAGACGCAATTTTTCCTTAGAGCATTAGATAATGCAAGTCGGTCTTTATCATTGAAGTTAAGTCCATCTTTTCGGGACAAGAAAACAATAAATTCAGATTTTTTTGAATCTTCCAAATATTTCCGGCTATATCCGGGGACTTTGAAGATATCATATTTTTTTCCTATAATATCATCATCTTCTGTATCGGACGAAGACGACAATGAAGACGATGAAACGTTTTTATCATCAGGAGGATTTTCCGGTTTACGACGTTTTTTCGCCTTCCCCATATTTATAATATGTACAACTCTCTATTTGTATAAACAGGCTAGTATTTACACACTATATTACAAAAATATACAAAATAAAAATTCGCAAATAAGAAAAGGCGCCTAAACGTATTCAAGGTTCCCGCGCGAATCCTTTTTTCTTTTTTTTAATATTTTTGGCTTGGATGCAGAGTCCTTTAAGCCACGTAGGGGTCAGTCGGGGTCCAGTGACACAGACCAAGAAGAAGATACTACGTATGTATGACATTTCCTCACGCCCCTCTTCTTCTGCTTTTTTAATTCACTCACCCCTGTCAGTAGATGGAGACATGACACCTGACAGAAACTGTCATTACAACAAAGAGTAAAGTTAGTAATGTTTTAATCAATCTTTAATTCATTTTACATGTTGGAATTAATTTATTCATTTCACATTAGCAAAATTGTGTGAAATGTGCAGATATGCCATTAATAAAAGAAGAAGAAGACTAAAGTATGTACCTACATATCAGGGAATTACAAGTGATTGAGTAAAGTTTCTTTTGTGCTTATCGTCTTCGCTTTATTTGTAATATAAACTCTCCATTTTTCGAAGTATTTTTATTTGTAGAAGATGCCTAAGAAATTGGTGTGTTGTGTTATGGTTGTGTTACACGCATTGTTAAAGTACGAACAGGACGCTATTCTTTATAAGATTCTAGTGAACGAGAAAAGATTCTCCAAGTGGTTACAATGTCTTAGTGCTGTGTGTGATACTGAAAATTTTAATCCAGGCAGAAGTGTCATTTGTAGCAAACACGTTGTACCAAGATTCATCACTCCAAAATCATGACTCTGGGGTGATGCATATCCGTCATTGTTTATTGATGATGGGCTCTCAATCAGCCTACCTTCTTCAAGCAATACTGGTAAGGCTGGTTTAATCTGCTATTACCTTTAGATAATGTAATTAAAATGATATGTATCTTCACTTTATGTTGTGTTTTGGAATACCGCTATTCTTCATTAGATTTTTTTGTTATTACAGAAATTATATTCACTTGGGAACACAGCTATGCAAGAAAAAGTCATGTTGACCACACATATTAGAAAGTGGAACTGAACAGAGGTTTGTTTTTAATTTATTTTATTTAGATAAAGTTCATGCTGCAGTTTTGGTGTATTTTAACAAAGATTTTTGCTTTAAAAAAGTCTAGTAGATCTCTCTTTCTTACACACATAAAGAAAAATTACATTAAGTTTCTTAACTCTAGCAGGCACTCTAGAAGTGATTTTGATCAGAGAACAAATTGATAATATAAATAACATATTTCTAATATCATCTAATATTATATCCTGTTTTTTAATCTTACACACATAATCAATATTGATTTCATAGGTGGTGTAATTTTAAAAGGACAAATTGAGACTCCTGTGTCTGCAGCCACTGAGTTTACTCAATTAGTTGCTTGCTCTGGAGATTAAAATATGACACAAACTAAATTATCTGGTAAGACCTGTCTGTTTCTTTAGTGTATCTTTATTTCAATCAAAAGTAGTTCTAATAGAGAAATTCACTGAATACTTTTGATGTTACAGACCCTGTGAAATGTACCCAAACAAAAAGGAAAAGGCTTATTACCAAATAAAGCCAATTGTCACCTTTATACCAGAGAATTTATGAAGAATATAACAAGCCAAAGACGTAGTTGAATTTTCATAATAAAGTTAAGAATACTTAAATACCTTTAAGTTTTGTAAAAAGTTATCATTTGAAAAGTTCCGACAAAAAATGATCACAGTTGCAAAAAATGTTTTTGAAATGCAAGTGAGCATGTGCTCTAAAAATAAACATGAGAGGTGATTCACTACTGAAGAAAAGATAATTGCTTTATCAATATCAAAGCAGAGTCCAAAGTGTTATTGATTTTTAAGCAATTTTTTTTATTTTATCATCCAAAACTACACTGAATACTATGATTAGAAAATTGATCATAGAACCAGGCTTCATGTAAGAGGTAAATATATTCCATATAAGGTTTTTCATACTACTTTTATAATTTTTTGTATTACTACCAAATAATAATATGTACCTACCTATTTGAATTTACTTTTTTCAGGTGGACAAATGAAACTCCAAAAAAATATGCTCCATTATATTTGATGAGATGTCATTAGAAACAGCACTTTCGTATAATAAAAGTAATAAGGATTAAAGATAACATTAATGGATTTGTAGAACACCAAGAAAAGAAAGTGGATTTTGCAGATCATACTCTTGTATTTATGTTGGTGCTGTTTACAAGTGGCAACAGCCTTTATGTTAGTATTTCTGTCAAGGAGTGACATCTACTGTACATCAAGAATATTTTAAAGTTAGTAATAGAAAAAGTTGTTGAATTGGACCTTAATCCCATCGCAATAATATATGACCAAGGCTCAGCTTTCTAATCAGCACTCAAAAATTTAAAAGAAGACACTTAGTGTGATCAAATTTTAAATTGAAATCACAGGTTGGTACAGAGAATTATATTTATATGAAAGAAAACTAATAGATTTAATGAAAGTAGTGAAGGTTCTTATTTTTATATTGTTATCTATGTTTTAAGTTCTTAAATTTTTGTTTCAGTTGGCATTCTTAAAATATGTGGGGTGGATTTGAACATTATGACACTTGATAAAATGTATCAGGAACAATTTTTTAACAAAAAATTTAATATTGGATAGTAAACTTGCAAAATGGCATGATATTATTTATGTCTATAAGACAGACTGTCAACACATTGAAGCTGGGCTACGTCATAAATTAAATGACCAATGAGTTATACCTGATAAAATTAAAATGATGAAGGTAATGCATTGGTTATTATATTAGTATAACTTAAATTAGTATAAATAAAAGAAATAATTTGTATTCAGCTTCTATATTCTCTATCAGAGCAAGTGTTGATTCAATGACCTGTATTTTTAATTATGTAACAAGTAGTTAATATAGTTTACACTTAAATTACAATAATGATTCTCTAATGAAGATAATTTTAAATATGATATCTCTTTTTGCAGGTAAAAAATTGTGTAAAAATATGTCTGCAGCTTTGTCTTACACTGCAAATTTCTGTGAGTATTAGATGAAATTTACTAACAGTTTATTGTTTTGAATCAAGTTTCATACAATTATTATATGAATATTTTAATTTACAGCAACTTATGAGGATGTGCACAACATTAAGAAATGCAGCTGATGTTGTTTCATTCTTTGACCAATTATTTGATAGTGTCAATGGAGCATCGACAAACAAAAAAAGCATAAAGGAAAAGAGCTGTGACAGATAAGACACACCATCATTCTTCCGGCCAAAGGCAATTGAAATTTTAGAAAAACTTAAATATGTGTATAAAAAGGTATTCAAAAATCAGTGCCCTCTTTCAAAAAAATTGTGATTACCTTGAAAAGTTTCATAAGGTTGTGCCACTAAAAAAACGTAGCTAGGAATTGCTGAGAATGCAGAAGAGAGCTGTGAAAAATATAATAAGTTAAAAAATAAATTATTCAATAAATAATATTGGAAAAATGTGTGTTTTATTTACGTGGTCATTTTTCCTTTTTTGTTTTACGAGGGTCAAACTGAAAGTTCTTAGAAAATCAAAAACTGATTACATTAGCCAGTTATTAGTTTTATTATATCTTTTCAAAATATTGTCCATTCACGTCAATACACCGCTGCATGCGATGGAACCACTGGGAAAAGCACTTTGCCCACTCGTCCTTAGGGGTCTCTTCAATGGCATCGCGATACGCAGCCACCGCTTCTTCAGCATTCATAAACCGCTTTCCTTTAAGTTTTTCTTTAATTTTTGGAAATAAATAAAAATCACAAGGCGCGAGGTCGGGGCTATACGGCGGGTGACCCAGTAATTCAACGTTTGATGTCGCCAAATAGTCGATCGTTCGCTTGGCGGTGTGCGACGAGGCGTTGTCGTGGTGAAGGAGGATCCTACTGCGAGGTCGTTTCTCTCGAACTTTTTCCAAGACAAGTGGCAAACAATTGATAGTGTACCATTCTGCAGAAACTGTTTTTTGATCCTCTAACACAATTGTTGCAAAATGACCTATCCTTCCAAAGAACGAGGCCACCATTTTTTTTCCCGCACTTCGATCTCTCTTCACTTTAGTTGGCAACTCCTCGAAAGGAAACACCCACTGAGCAGATTGTCTTTTGGTTTTAGGATCATAACAGTAAATCCAGCTTTCGTCACCTGTTAGTATGTCGAACACAGCATTTGAGTCACCTCCGTTAAATCTTGCAATCATTTTACGACACCAATCCACACGATGGAGTTTTTGAGCCTCAGTCAAATTATGAGGTATCCACCGGGCGCAAAGCTTCCTGACCGCTAAATGTTCGTGGAGGATTTTGTGCACTTGACTCATACCGATGCCTAAGCTTGTCCGAATCTGTTGATAGGTCACTCTTTTGTCAGTCTCTATCATACGCCGCACAACACAGATGTTATCTTCAGTCGTCGCCGTAGAAGGCCGTCCCTCACGTAAATCATCAGTGAGATTAGTGCGACCACGTTGAAACTCATTAAACCAGTTGTAAACAGTCGCACGAGATGGGGCTTCATCGTGAAAGGCCAATCGTAGTCTATCATAACTTTCTTGTTGACTTAAATGACATCGAAAGTCATAAAAAATCATTGCACGAAAATTTTCTCGTGTTAAATTCATGATGACGTGACACAGACAATTTTCAATTTGCCGCCAAATCGTAAAACAAATGACAAATGAATGAAATATATACTCAGTAATATTGGCAAAGAGTTATATTTTCAAATTTTAGAATTATTTTTTTATTATATTGTTTATAAGTGGCCAGTTCTAAGAACTTTCAGTTTGACCCTCGTAATACAACAATAATATTAAGCTAGACTTATTGTTGTATTAAAACTAAAAAGGAATTTAAATTAAAGTAAAAATAATGTGGAAACTAGGAAGACGGCTAGGTACCTACCCAAAACAGGGCTGTATAGCTAAATGCCTTTGCCGATAGTAGATCTATATATTTAAAACGAATGAAGCTGTCATGTATCACTGGCTCCCAATCACGTTCTACGAAGAAATTTTTTGTTAGGAAGTTGGTCGTCTGATACCTACTAAGTCTGTGCGGCTCTCGCGGCGTGCAGTCGGCTTTTTGGTTACGGACGCTCGGCACAGGATCTATACGAGGTTATTTTTCCTGAGATATTTTCCAAGATGAACGCTGAAGGACGGTCCAAAGTTTTTGCTAAAAAAATTAACAAACAAGCTAAATAATTAGTATACAATGTTTATTCTTTCTTTCAACAAGGAAAACAAGATCAAACTTCCACGCAATTTTTACAAGATGTAAACCTGCACAAAATCGTCGCCCAAGCAACGCAAATATCACTGTCTACTGTGAGTAAAATCATCAAAGAAGGAAATGATCTGAAACGCGACCAGAAAAGTGTAGTATTTAAATCCCCAAGAAGTAAAAAACAGAACCGAACTAAAAGAATTGAAATAGATAATTTTACTGAAGGTGTCATCAGACGAAAAATAACTCAATTTTATACTATATACAAAAAGGTACCCACATTGAAAACACTAAATGCTAAACTTAAAGAAGAAGGAATTTTAAACTGTGGTCGAGAATATTTGAGACAGTTACTGCATAAACTTGGTTTTAAATTTAAAAAATGTCAGTCAAAAAGAAAGCTGCTTGTTGAGCAACCAAATATTATTTCTTGGAGATAGAGATCGCGTTTAGATAAACGCGATAAAAGAACATCGACGAGACAAGAGATCTATTGTTTATCTTGATGAGACATACGTAAATGCGTCTTTAAATGTTCCATCGTGTTGGCAATCTGCAAAAGAACGTGGAGTGCTGTCACATATTGGCAAAGGGCCGAGATTAATTATTGTACATGCAGGTGGCCAAGCTGGTTTTGTAAAAGCTCTATTAATTTTTAAATCGAAAAGTAAAACCGGAGATTATCATAATGATATGAATTTTGTAAATTTTAATAAATGGACCAAAGAGAAATTATTGCCAAATTTACCTCCAAGATCTGTAATCGTTATGGATAACGCTGCCTATCACTCAGTACAGGAAGATAAAAAGCCAACGATGACCAACACAAAGGCTAACATGCAGGCCTGGCTGCAAAGACATAATGTCGAATTTGATAATTCCTTAAGAAAATGTGACCTGCTTAAGCTGATTAAGCAGAATGGTTCTGAAAATTTTTATAAGATTGATGAATTGCTCAAAGCTGCGGGTCACGAAGTATTAAGACTTCCCCCCTACCACCCAGACTTAAATCCTATTGAGTTGGTTTGGGGGGATATCAAAGGTCAACTGGCAAGAAAGGAACTGGACAGTGATTTAGATAATAATAATAATAATAATAATATTTATTAGATCACAACAAAATACATGATTTTCGCTATATCTAAGCTTATCATATACTGTACCTAATTAATTTGCATCTGCTGCTGAACTGAGTTGATACCCGTCTTTCAGCATACAGCGCCTCAAAACCTCAGATTCTTGAAATTACTTAGTATATATTAAGCAGATAAGCGACACTGAATTTAAGTTACCTAACTTATCTTAACTTATAGTGTTATCCTCTCGGTGAGTAGAATGATAATGACTGAGTGCGTGTAAGAGGGTGAGTAAGTTGAGTAGTAAATTATAAAACTTAAAATTCCAAACACCATAAAACATTTTTACCGCGAGAAACAGTTACCATTAAACTAATCAGTCTCGGAGAGCAAAAAGCGCACCACTATGTTACGCCAACACTGTAAAATCGGTGAGAAGCCATTTGACCAGTCAGTATATAACCACTGGCCAGTTTAACAGGTCAGAGATATAGAGGGTTATTTATTAGGTAATCACGTTTATTAAATTTTCAGTTTCATCATAACTTAATTTTTTTATCCAACATGATATTATTCTTTTCACCTCATTTTTATTTAACGGGTAAATGTTATGTATTTTATTAATTTTGTTATACATAAATGGGCCTAAAAATAGAAAAAAGTTCCGAATAAAAGTAGTTCTCCGTTTATGCACCTGTCTACAAACCGCAAAATATCTACGCCGCGACAGATAGTTAGAGTTATATTCCAACAAGGTATGTTGTTTTAAAGTTATATTAAGTAAGTAAATTTGGCGCACAGACATTTGGCGCAGATAAAAAGAAGATTGCAATAGAGCAATTATTCAACGAATTCCAGCAGAAAAATGGGCAGCATGTGCAATTCATGTCAAAAAATTGAAGATGAGTATTGTAGTCACGATGGACTACTCGATAATGCTATGGACTAAATAATAATCAATTTACAAGATGACTCGGATTCGTCCAACTGGACAGAAGAAGAAACAGAAGATGATTCAAGTGTCATAGACATCAGTGAAGAAGAAAACCTGTAAAATAAATATATACTTAATTCTGATTGATATAAATTCTTATCATAAGTGTAAAATATTGTTTATTTCTTTATTATGTCATCCCGTCCCATCCGTCAACCCGTGAACCCGTGAACAAATACCAGAGATTGTTCTTTTTTTTACCTGATATTGGGAAGGCAATGGAACTGAGCCATACATCCTAATCTACTTACCATCTTACTAATATAAGACTACGCTAATGTCTTCGTATTCGTAAAGGGAAGCCGGTGATAATCGAACAACTTGAATTAATATCAAAGAAAAAATATATATTGCATAACTAATATAAATATTAAAATAAATAAATAAATATGTTCCAAAATAAGTAAATATGTTCCAAAAACATTTACATTTATTTTATATGTAAGTGAAATGGAATGACAAAGTTTATTATTTATTTTGCATCCGAGTAAGATATCTCGGGATTTATCTCGAAACAAGTCATTACGTGTGTACGATACCCGCGCCCACCTACCTCTTACCCCGCAGGCGTCCCGCGAGTTAAATGGTTTGCCTATAAGTGTACACATGGCAAGTATTTATTAAATTAAGTACCTAATTCAGAACTATCTCCTTAACCCCTTATCTTTTATTTGTCAGTGACAGAATTATATTTTAATATATACCTTAACTCTATGTTATTGGAACTCCATTAATTTAGTTATGTATAATCTGTTCCGGACCTTGACACAGAGTATTATGTGAATAAAACAGCCGGCATGCTACTTCCACTCTTTTTTTCTGTTCTGTCCCCCTACCTGTAGGATTTATTACATAAACCATTTCTGTTTCAATGTCTATTTCAAATTTAGCCCATTAGTTTTTATATATTTATAGCAACTTTTATAAATAAGCGGTTCCAAATTATCTTCCTAATAAGTAATAAGCCTGACAACTTACTCGTAACTAATACACCTCGTTTTCCACTAATAATTCCCAATTTTAAAGAATTTGCCGCATTATATTAAAATAAAAGTTGATATTTTATACTCCATAAATTTTCAATTACGATAAAAAAGTAAGGACGAATTCAGGAAATGTTTTTTATAATAAATGTGTAAAATATATCTTTTGGTGTGGTCGTTTACTCTTGAAGATTGCATAAAATATCGATAAATTTACGGGCATAGTGCATGTGCACCAAGGAAATTCTGCCAATGAAT